GAAATTATTTATTATATTATTTCATTAAAAAAAATTTAATAAATTTATAAGGCAAACTGTACATTAAATGTACAGTTTGCCTTATAAAACAGTTTACATCTTTAATGAAATTATTTATTATATTATTTCATTAAAAAAAACTTAATAAATTTATAAATCAAATTATACATTTAATGTACAGTTTGCCTTATAAAATATTTTTTTGTGTTTCTTTTATTATTTCTAATTTTGTTTCCCTTAACAAAATGGAATTAAAGAAGTTAAAAAAAAAAGGTTTATCTTTATATCTTTACTTAATTAAAAGATCTACGAGTGTTTTAAAACCCAATAATTCTTTCATTTAAGCCCAATCCTTGGGCCTATAAGATAAAATAACAAAATTAAACTTTGCAAGTTGAGCCTTCAAATGAATATGATTTATTAATTTTATACCGTATCATGTAAAGTTAAAAGCAAAACTAATTTACAAAGTAGAAGTGAGGAAGTAGTTGAATTGATCGTGATGAGTTACCATTCTGTGATAGATTTCAGGAGCAAGGATTTTTCTTCATAAAAATTTAATTGACAAATTATAAGTAATTACAGAGAATTTAAAAAAGAAATTCTTATTGATCCATTAAATGTGGATCTTTTCATACTACTTTCCTAATTTGAAATTTCTATAACAATCTCATTCATGGACTTAAATTATCTAGAAATTGGTCCCTACTTTGAAATTCTTCCACACTTATATTACATATTGGCATATACATTCATCATATGTATTGCTTGTCAATTTCCACATTTACTTGAGAGATGTGGTCAAGCAAATGCAAACGAGGAAACTTGCAAGCAATTATAGGGAAGTGATGAACATTATATTATATATTGGCATATGCATGCATCATAATTATTGCTTGTCAATTTTCACATTTACTTAACAAATGTGGTCAAGCAAATGTAAACGAGGAAACTTGCAAGCAATTGTAGGGAAGTGATGAATGGAGATAAGTAAAAGACTCTTGAGTTATTTTGGCCTTCTTTTTAGAAGGTCCAACATTAACGTTGCTACTTTTTGAAGCAAATAATTTTCTACCAAATATGGTTTTCTTTCTTTAAGTTTTGGTTCCCATTTCTTGGCACTGTCTTTATTGTTCTTACTTTCTTTTTATTCTTTGGGATTCATTACAATAGAATTACATATTAAAAGCGATATTCGTCCTATAAATTTATTAAAACATCTTTAATGAAATTATTTATTATATT